TAACACATTTAGAATATTACAACCCATTGAAAAAACTATATGAGTTGTGTATATGTATATAAGAGTAGTTGCCCTAACCAACTAAAAAATCTAAATTGAATTACATTCATATACAAAATAAAGATTAGTGATGCTTATTGTAGTGTAAGTATAGGCAAAACTTTGCATAACTAAATTTTGTATAGATGAGGTTAGTGTAGTCAGTTTAAATGGAAGTAGGCAGAGTTAAAACATTTTATACTCAATCCCAATTAGTGGAAAGAGTGAACTTTTATCTAAAGGTTTTGATCAATTGTTGCAATCAACAATTCATGTTAAATAATCAACAAGACGTGTTATGAATTCAATAAGTCATATTATAAATTTTACAATCAAGATAAATATTAAAATAAATTATAATAACTATTACAACTTATACTTTTGAGCTGTCATTAAATTGAACTGCCAAAATTAGCCCCACCGTAGTTTTATATAAGCTACCACAATGAACTGGGAGTAGGCAGAGTTAAACATTTTATACTCAAATCCCATATTAGTGGAAAGAGTGAACTTTTATCTAAATTTTTTGATCAATTGTGCAATCAACAATTCATGTTAAATAATCAACAAGACGGTTTATGAATTCAATAAGTCATATTATAAATTTTACAATCAAGGATAATATTAAAATAAATTATAATAACTATTAAAACTTATACTTTTGAGCTGTCATTAAATTGAACTGCCAAAAATTAGCCCCACCGTAGTTTTATATAAGCTACCACAATGAACTAAACATTAAATTTACAATTTGAAACAAAAGAAGGCAATGAGCCAGGCTTTTGAAAAGAGAATAAAAGAAGAAACACTCCGAGTAATGAGAAGTACATCCGCAGTGGAAGGATCAGTCTCGTCGAAGTATGGCACAATTAGACTGCGTAGCAACGAAATCAGTGCTAGAATATTTTGCTCTTTACAGGACATGTAGACACAAGAACGACTCACTTCATTCCCAGCTCCAAGTGGGGTGGGGTCACAATCTGACAATCCTCCTCTTTATTGTTTACAGTCAGTGAGTGTTTGGTTTTCATTTTATTAAAATTTTATTTAGTAAAAATTATTTGATAAAAATTAATTTAATAAAACTTAATTATTAAATAAATTTATATTTAAATATATTTTTTTAAAAGTTAGTTTGATATACTAAAAATTATTTAGTTTAAAATAGTAAAATGTGTTTTTGAATATACAATTATTAAAAAGGTTATTGATTTATGATGATTTATAAATTTTATTATACAAATAATATATTTAAAATATTTAAATATAATAAAGATTTTAAATAATATAAATTTTGATTTATAATGTTAAAAATTTGATCTCTAGTTATTTGTATTTTTTTAATTAGTAATTTTAGAAAATGTGATAAAGATTTATAATTTTTATTATCATTAATGCTAAAAATTAATATGATTAATTATTTAATTTATAATGCTAAAAAATTGACATCTAATTATTATTATTGAAATAATAATTATATTTTTAATGAATTACCTATTTTTTAATAAAAAAATAAGAGATTAAATTTGGAATAATATGGTTAAATAACATCATACTTTTCAAATTCACTTTTTAAAAGTTTTAAATAGTTACGTTTCAGAAATTCACTTCTAGCTAATATTTGAATGTACTTTTAAGATGTGCTTTTCTACAAAATATTTTACCCAATAACTTTCAACTTTCTGAGGCCTCGTTTGGTATGATAGAAAAGTTTTTGATAGAATCGGAATCGGAATTGAAATTGAAATCGAAATTGGAATTAGAATTGAATTGAGTTTTAAAAGTGTGTTTGATATGAAGATAGAATCATGATATAATTTTAATAAGTATATGTATTTAAAATATAAAAAATCAAAATACCCTTTATTTTATTTTTTTAATGAAAACTTAACAATAAAAAAATAAAGATGTACTTTTAAAGCTCAAATACCTTTTATTTTATTTTTTTAATGACACATAAGTCAATTCCATGTTGAGTTGGTGGATTCTATGGTCTCTACAATAGAATTGGATTCCATCAATTTTGATGGAATCAGATTCCTTCAAGAATGCAATTCTGGTATACCAAACAAGCCAACTGAAGAATTTCATGTCTAATTTTATTTTTTTTTCATAATTCTGATGTACCAAATATGGCCTGAAAGTAAAGTTTTGCTTTCTGAATATAAAATGAAAGAAAACCAAACGGGCCCTTACAGGTGAGTCGCGTCTCTTGAGCGAGGGTGGTTGTCCTATTGAACCCATTCCCACGCTGAAATAGAAGTCAACAAAAGAAAATTAGAGAAAATGGGAAAATAATGCATTGCTTCATTGAAATAAACATGGAGGTTGAGAACCGACTGGCTCCACACACCTCACCTTGAGGTTTGTCCATTTCTAGCAAGGGTGACACTGAATTGAAAACAGCATACGGATGGCTGAGAGACGAGTCGAATTCCACCTCGAAACGAACAATTGAAATCGGATCCTTACTTTTCCTCCATTCATCCGTCGATGATTCTTCAGCAACCAAAAAAAAAAATGGATGGAAAAAAATGATCAAAGTTAGCAAGGCTGAGATGTTGGATTATTCACTCTTTAGTCAAGTGGTTTTTCTCAGGTCCTGCTGTTTTCACATGAATTAATTTCATTTGGCTCCTTGAATACTGCAGAAGTATGATTTCAAATTTTATTGATCCTTTTGTGAAATTATCTTACTTCAGCAGTCCTATAATGAAATTCTCCGTATGTAATTAAACTTATAATGCAATAACAAGGAGGGGGTGTTTGTAAAAGGGAAAGAAGAAGGCGAGTCAATATACTAATAGCTAATTACTTGCCCTCAAATCAGCCCTTCCTGTGGATTCCCGCAAGAGCAGCAAAACAAGTCCACAAAAAAAAAATAATAATAACATTTATTTAATCGACACGAAAGCTTTTTATATTTAAAAAAAATGACAGTGAGGGTCTTGAAGTGAAAATAAAAAAAAAGTAACGGCAGCCTAGAACAAGTGAAGGTTTATTATGTATAAATGAAATTTTAGTTGTTCAGAATTTTCACTGCCTTTTTTCTCCCTTTAGGGAGCCCTCATCGACATTCTCTCTATATTTTACTAAGAAGGAAATAAATAAAAAAACTAAGATGGACACATGGAAAAAAATATTGTGAACTGATGTGGAACCCTCCATTTTTTTGTTATCATTTTCTCTTCACTACTTCAATTATAATTATTGACATTGCTGCATTAAATAAATTTTTTTAATAATAGATTTGATGAATGATTGCAATTAGATAAGCTTAGACGTTGGTTTCTTTCTTTACCTTGGGATCATGGGCCCCACCCCCAGCGATGCAGCTGGTGCTGTGTGGGGTATACCAAAACAAGAAATTCAAAAAATCGCATGCATTCATTGGATACATTACTGGCCATGCTGTCGGCCCTACTATTGTTTACAAATAATATTGCAATCGCCTGTAGTTATAATTCTGGTGTATCATACTATTCTGTAATGGCCCCGCTCTTTGGATTCAAGAAAGAGTGATTTCTAACCAGTTTTATAGATATGATGATGATGGCAGTGACGCAGCCATGGCAATAATAATGATTTAGTGTGTGTTTGGTTATGATAAAAATATATTTAAAATATTTAATTATTTGTTGAAACTGATAAAAGTACGTTCCAAATTCGATTTAGATGTGCTTCTGAGAATAATTCAAACAAACCCTTAATCATGAAATATTGCACTATACCCACACATATTTCAAAATTATCCAATTACAATAAAATAATGAACTGTTCTTTATCCAATCTAAGTAGTCAATTGTATTGTGTTAAGATATTATTTACACGTGATCACTGTGACTCTGAGTAGGAACAAGAAATTAAAAAAAAAATGCAATATAATATTGATATTGTTTTAATTCTTAAACACATCAAGTACAACAATCGGGATTGGATGCCCCTTCTCATTATCTCGGGCAAAATTCATATTTATTGACGCGTGTGTGTGAAATCAGTCAAAACACCATCGATGTATATCAGCGCATATACATTTATGGAAGTTGTAGATGGAGAACTACATTGTTAACAAGTCATGTGAATATTCTTTCGTCCCGTTCAAACGATTGGGACCTACTCTGCTCAACGTTACTTGGGTTGTAGCAATTGAAAACCGCAGAGAAAATCGCAGGAATGTTTCTTCGACATACATACACAAGTATACTTTTAATTATACTTGTGTAAAATGAATTTCTTAAGTAAAATGAATTTCATTTCTCGGGATTTCATGTAAAATAAAGTGAATTAAAAGGTAGCTTAATACAAAATACGTATTCAATGAACCCAATCACAATTTATATTGGTTAAAAAAGTTTAGTTACAGGCTAATAAACATTTCTCTTGTTCGTCGGCTCCTTTATATAGTGTAAGAGGTTGATCGATTTTGAACAAGTAAAACGTATAATGTTTGTTTTGATAATCTTGTAACCACATATAATTGATGACTCTACCGTAGACCTTTCTTTAAAATCTAAAAATAAAAAAGCAGTGTGTTTATAACCCATCCAAACTTAAAATACATGGGTCTGACACTTTAAAAAATTAAAAAATTAAAAACAAGGCTAAAAGTTGCATCTTTATTCCTGAAATATTCTCCAAAATTGAATTAATTTTTTCTTAAACTAATTAAAGTAGAGCATTTTTGTTATTTTCATTAAATTTTTTAATGGTCAACGTTTAAATTCTAGTTAATATTTATAACAATCAACATTAGAATTTAACAGTAAAGGTAAAAACGTTTCGTTTGAATTACTTTAAAGTTAAAATTGCTTCATCTAATAGTTTAGAGTGTTGAATAGTTTTTGAGAAAACTTTAAAGACAAAAATGTATTTTTATCCTAAAAGGAAAACTACATCCGCCAAGCCAAATGGACATTGTGAAGCTCAACACACATACTCACACGCACTCGTGAAGAATTAAGTAAACACAAGATGCTAGTGTGCCTTGAAGAAACGAGACAACACATAAACAAAAGTCTGCCTTTACAACAACCCTCCCGTTCTTGGAGGTCAGGTAAGTTTCACACATAAACAAGAGAATGTAGTCAAACATCACGTCAAAGGAAACACGAGTATTATCACAAACAAACATGGGATTATATATTAATTAAACATATGGCTTAACCTGAATAACCAGTTTGCCATGATTAGAGCTTGAGAATACGGAGGCCAGGCTCTCTAAGAAGCTCTCGATCCCGAGGTTAATTTTATTTTTGGACTTCACCTTGCCTTGTTTCATGTATCCTCCCATTGCTGCAGCGAACTCTCCGAAACGATGCAGATGAGATAGAAGCATGAAACCCTCCATCCTCACTTCTTTCCCCACCATGTTCAGCAGATTCCTCACCCCTTCTCTTTCTGTCCACACCTGCATACCCCCATTCACATTAATTAAACAGCATGAATGCATGATCTTTAGCATTACATGCATACTGCACTTTTATTTATTGAATGCATGATTCATTACCTTATTGTATTGAGATACCATTCCGCAGAGAGGAATGCGTGCGTACTTGTTCACGTGGTTCAATACAGCTTCAAGCATCTTCCCTCCAACATTGTCCAGGTACAAATCTATACCGTTTGGGAAATACCTGCAAATTCAAGTCATTTTAATTTAATCAATCATTGGTAACAAAATTGAAGTGTATTAGTGAGAGAGATCAAGATGAACCAGGGATTAAAGGGAAACCTGCTCAAAGCAGCATCGTAATCTGTTTCCTTGTGGTAGTTGAATCCGTCGTCGTACCCAAATTCGTCTTTCATTAGCTTCACCTGCGAATTCATTTGTTCAAATATTATTTCTTTTCAGCTACTAGTTGTAGGATTATTAGAAACCAATAATTCAAATTACCAAGAAAAAACATGATGAGTTATAATGGGTTCTTCTTATTTATTACCAGAAAGATTAATCTAAAACCCCACATTAAATTTAAATAAAGAAAAATCACATGAAATAATCATAAATTACTTTTAAGTCTTATATTTTTTTTTCATCATGGCTGTCAATTTTTTATATTAAAATTGCCCATTAATACTGTGTAACTATCAACAGAATTTTTTAGTAGTTGTTACTACTCCCTTGGCTCCACTTTATAACTTACATTTTAAAAGGGTGTGAAGTGATTTACTTTATAAATCATTGAATTGATAATGATATTTTATTTTAAATAAAATACCTAAATTATCCTTAAAAAATATGAGAGAAAGAAATAAAAAAAATAATATTATATAATTTATTTACTTTTTTAAGGTTATGTTTATAATTTTATAAAATTTTATTCTTTATATTCTTATTGCATTGATATTGATAAAGTTAGTAAAAATAATTTATAAATAGAATGGGAGGGAATAAGTAATAATAATTAAAATAATTTTATATTTTTTAAAAAAAATTGCGTATTTAAATTTTCTGTGGGGTGATTCATTCCGCACGGTGTAGCGGCCACTTTTCGTCGAAATATCTACATTTTTTATGTATCTGCATTTTTATGTGACCTCTCAGATGTGACGCCACCACAACGAACTTCAGCAAGTATACTTTTTCCACCTACTTTTCCTTCATTAAATTTCCCCTCGTAGAAAATTGATAGACTTACTCTGGCAGTATCCAGCTATAAGCCTATAACCTCTACAATCACTGTTGTACGAGAATTCCCCCAATGTTCGGCTTTGTTTACAGTATATAAAATATAAAAAAAAATCATGCATATTATTTGTAATTCATGAATAGTATATATAATTTAATTATATTAATATTATTTTTTCTTATATTCATTTTATCATTTAAAAAATTCAATTTAGACTACTACTTTTACGGAATTGAGACGCTCAAACACTGATTTTATTTGACTAAAAAATAAATATCCTACTCAAACAATTGAGTATTGTTAAAATATTTGGCCAAAAAAATTAAATATTATTATAATATCATTTAATGATAAATGAATGTTAAAAAAAAAAAAAAATTTGTGGAGTGTTCATCAAGTTACTATTCTTTTCTTTGTATAATGTATAGCTGGTTCCGACGATAATCTGTGATAGTTTTACAGAACCGTACCTTATCATCGGAGCCAGTGGATCCGATAACCCGACAGCCACGGAGCTTGGCGAGTTGGCCGGCAAACATTCCCACGCCACCGGAAGCAGCAGAGATGAAGACATTGGACCCTGGCTTTGGGTCTCCCAGCACCTCTATTCCCACCCACGCTGCAAACCCCGGCACTCCTGCACCCAAACAAACCCCACCTCAGTTTCAGCCCCAGATTAATTGTTGGCATCAAATATTAAAACCCACCCAAGCAGCTTAGGAAATCCGGCAATGAGATCCCAGCTTTTGGATCAATTTTCTTGAGCATGTGGGAGGTCATCACACAGTACTCTGCCACCGGAAAATATGGATGGAGCACAACGTCGCCCTCCTCAAACTCGCTATCCTTGGACCGGATCACCTTTCCGATCCCAAAAGCCGTGATCACCTGCACATGTATATTTTACTCAAGTAGCTCATTCTCTTTTGTAGAGAAAGAAAAAAGCTAGTGCCTGCCTGGTTAAGCGGGTACTGGTCGGAGTCGAGGCCGTCCAGGCGGCCGCTCATTCTCGAGCGGAGGTATGGATCGACGGAAACATAGAGGAGCTCGACGGCGAGGTGACCGTCGGGGATGGAGTCGGAGGCTAGCGATAGCCGGACAGTTCGGAGTTTGAGATTATCGGAGGTGGGAACACCCTCCGGAGCATACGATGCCAAGTACCATTCTCTGCTCTCAACCTCCTCGCATTTCTCTGCCATTATTCTTCCGCTTTAGTCACTCTCTCGCAAGGCAAGCCGGGGCCTATCGGTGGATCTCGCCTCACTCTCTTGCGTACGATCCCTTTCTTGTTAAGACCAGGGATTTAATGAATTCAAAGATAACAAAGACTTGGTAGAAGTAATTTAATCAATAACAAAGCACTTAAATTAAAATTAATTTGACAGTCTCGTATATACATTTTTGGGTAGGACTTGTATAATATATTTAGTATATTTTTATTCAATTAATCCAAAATAAGTAAATTTTAGTGTATTAATAATATTAATAATAAGCATTTGTTATAAGATAAATAATCTATTAAAGACTCACATGCTAGGGCCCTCAAAAAAAAAAATTAATCACATGCTGGGAAAATTCCAAAATACTACTGCAAGTCTAAAGGCTCAAATTGCAATTAATTTGTTAGTTCAATTATCTAAATGCCTTTGCCTTTTATTTTATTTTTTTTGAAAAAAAAAAGTGTTATGTCACCGGCCATAGCTCCAATGCCATATTGTCATCAACCGGTTAAATGTGCGAAGGGCCAAGGTTGGATTTAGTATGAGATGTATAAATGATGTTTAAATATTTACAAGTTATTTATTAAATACACATAATAAGATATCCATGGTTAACAAAAACCCGTAGAAATGCTTAAAAATAAATTTATAATATATTTTTATCTAACATAAAATTAAAAACTTGTTAATATTATAGGAACAAGTTGTGAAACTCTAAACAAATTGAGTTTTAAAAAAATGATAACTTTTTTTTATATATGAACAAGTGATGTTCATAATTAACAAAAGCAAGGGAAAATACTTAAAAAATAAATTTATAACATATATTTTTTTAATTTAATATAATATTAATAATTTATTAACATTAAAGAAACAAGTAATGAAAAATAAATTAAATTAAATTTATGAACAAATGATATTCAACTATATACAAATAATTGTTCAGATATATATAATAAAATGTTCAAGATATGTAACAAGAAGTAAAAATATTTTAAAATAAAATTATAATATATATATAAGTTTGCACTATATATATTAAAGTAATTGTTGTCTTAATAGTTTCCTTTATTTTGAGAACTACAAGGTCAAAAAAGGTACAAATCCACCTTTGACTTCTTGACATTGATCAATGATTGATTACCGCACTAAAGTTAGAGCTCCAGCTACAGGACATTTTCTTAAAAAATAAAAGGTAAGGACATTTTGATAATTGGTCCAACAAAATTAATTGAAATTGGAGCTCTTAAAGTATTTCAAAAATTTTTGAGCCCTGCATGTGATTAATTTGTTTCTTAAGATCTTTGTTGAGATTCTCCCTATCGTTAAAAACAAACATTTTTAATATAAAATTAAATATATAAGTTTTTTTATACATTTTTTAAACTTTTTCGTTTTAATTTCTAGAGCGCAACAATGATTTATGCTCGTGCTCATGTACGGACTGTCATCAGTTTCTGTTTCCAACCACACCTACCATGCCGACAATAATGAAAACAGTAATTCTCTCTCGTCTGCTTCGTTTGCTTTCCTTTTTCCGTGACCAAACGGGGCCAATCTCAAGACTCCTCAGCCACACGAAGTTCAGGGCTGGAGCCCGCGTTATCATAAATCATGGTTTGCGAAGACTTTAAAAAGTAAAAAATTTAAATGATAACTCCATTTAAATTCGTACAACATTATTAAATACCATAATATTCTCTTGACAATTGATTATATCAAAATACATAGTTATCAATTTGCTATGTTCAATTACCAATGAATATTTCGTTATTTAACTATACTGCGAGGAAGTTAGAGTATGGGTGTTTGTTCGTATGTAATTTTGTAAGGCAACAATTCAAGCAGGTGATTTTTTTTTGGGGGGGGGGGGTTAAATAAAGCAATAGACTATTTTCCGCAGGTTCACTGCATCGCGGAAGCCATTGATGGCTAGCTAAACCAATGGTGCGGATCTAGGCATTTATATATTCACTGAGCGCGAAAGTAACACAATATACAACAGATATCATAAGAGTATATATTGTTTCTAGTTTCTACGGCAACCCATCGTACGTACGTAGTTCACAGGTACTAAGAACATACATAAGACATGGGGTTCAGACATTATATTATATGAATAATGGAAGCATTCAGTGTCCGGAACGAACATGGAAGCACACATCAGCCAAACATTGGGCTTAACCTGACTTTGCCAACATTGGAGCTGGTGAATAAGGAAGCTAGGCTCTCTAGAAAGCTCTCGATCCCCGAGTTGATTTTATTCTTAGACTTCACCTTTCCTTGTTTGGTAAAGCAGGAACAAAAAGAACACAGTTTGGTAATGCAGGACATATGAATGGGGATTCAGGAATATAATTACCTTATTCTATTGAGATATCATTCCCCTGAGAGGAATGCATGCGTACTTGTTCACGTGATTTTGAAGTACAGCTTCAAGCATCTTCCCTCCAACATTGTACAGGTGCACGTCTATACCGTTTGGGAAATACCTGCAAATTCAAATCATTTTAATTTAATCAAACCTTGCTAACGAAATCAAAGTGCATTAGTGAGAGATCAAGATGAACCGGGGATTCAAGGGATGCCTGCTTAAAGCAGCATCATAAACTGTTTCCTTGTGGTAGTTGAATCGGTGGTCATACCCAAATTCCTCTTTTATAACCTTTACCTAGAATTTTTTTAAATTGTTTTCAACAACTCCTCCTTGTTTTTCAAAATAATTAGCCAAGTTTTCTAATACATTATAAATAAAATTCGAAGAACGGAATCTTGAAGTAATGATTTATGAATTGTAAAAATGATGTTACCTGTTATAAATTTTATATCTGATCTTAAATTAATACGCAATGCGGTAAAAGGATAGCCTGCGCAGGCGGTGAGCATTTTTGTTTCTAGGTGACTCTGAGGAGTTGAGAATTGACTAGCTTAATTTTCAACATCTGGTTATAAAAATATATAAAGGATTATTCACTTCTTGTATTTGATTAAAGGAAAAATGGCAGAAAAAATTCTCAGAAATATGCAAATGAAAATGAAATTATGTGAAATACTATAATTCTTCTTAAGTTCCTAGAAACCTTTTTGACGTTAATGATATTCGGTGAAATGACTAAAATACATCCAATTTAAAATAAAATAGTAATTACTTATTTCATTTTAATCATTGTTAGGAAAAAAAGTTGTCATTTCCCAAACTAAAATAGTTGCGGATATTTACAACAGTTGAATTTCAATGAATAAAAAATTTGCACGAAAAAAGTTATAATTACTTGTTCCATTCTAATCATTATTAAAAGAAAAATAGTTATTACTTAAACTGACACATATATTTACAATATTTGGATATTAGATGATAAAAAATTTACATAGAAAAAAGCTATAATTGCTTGTTTTGTTTTAGTTATTGATAAAAAAAATAATAATCATTGCTTAAATTAAAATAATCATAAATATTTATAACATTTAAATTTCAGTAAATCAAAAATTTACAACAACATCCTCAAAGTTGTAGCACTTGTCTGGAGTAACATTTGTAAAAATAAAGTTTACACTAACTACAGTACTTTGCAAACTGAAGTTTAGGCAATTAAATTTAAAGTTAATTATGCTAATATACTTTATGTTTAGATAATGTTAAGATTATAGATATTAAGAAAAAAAGGACTAAACATTCATTGATGAAGATGATAAAACATTGCAAGAATATGATCCTTTACTCGAAGGATTTATAGCCCTTCTTGGGTGATTTACTAACCTTATCTTAAGGGTGCACTAACCCCAACTTTGAAGATTAAATTTCTTTACCTAAATGTCTAATCTTTATCCCTTTATATAGGCTTAAGCTAACAACTAATTGTAATCAATATTCAAATAGATACTCTTTGTGTAAAAAAGTCGATTTAACGAATTAAAATTTATTTGAATGATATAACTAAAGAGCACATGTATGTTTAGATATATAATGATTAAAAATGACATGAGTTTTATATCATATACTCTAAATTATAAGTTTTAAGATGATTTGAATTCTAAACTTATATTTAATACATTTTAAATCCTGAACAATTAAATTTAAAGTAGTCTCACTATCATCGTTAATTTGAAATTAACGAGTATTATTTAAGTATAGTAGGGCACAAGGTTATGTTACGCTCCCTCTCTTCATCTCATCTCTCCCTTTTCCCCCAAACCCCTTTTTAGACTCATTCACCCTCTTCCTTCTCTCTCTAGTTTCAGACTCATCCCCTTGTCTTTCTAATTGCTAGCTAACAGACACAGAGAAAAAGACAAGGACATCTTTTTTAGGTTTCATCCCTGTGAGATTCAAAACCGTAGGAGCCTAAAACTAAACTCCCACGTAACAAAAAAGTACTGCCCCCAACAGGAACACATCAATAGCGGACAGGCGTCCAAAAGTGACCCGCCCACATTTCCAGACTTGACACTCCATTGTCACCATTTGCTAAGAACCATACACCATCCTCCACTACCACTTCGACAATAAAGGTTCTCACAAGTATGCTTTCTCTCACTCTTTAGTCGACTGTTTCCCTCACTCTTTGGCACAAGTCCAGCCCCATTCGGCTAACATTATGAAGCTCCTTTGTCTCAGAGAGGAACAACGAGAGAGGGAGTCTCACTTGAAGACAAAACTTCTTAAGTACAAGCTGTTGAAGGATTCCATCGTGATTTTTTCTGTTTTGGAGAATGAGATCAGTGCCAAGCACTACTATAAAAAACAAAGGCTTTGGTGGTGTTTGAAAGACATTTATAAAACATTATAAGCCTCAAAATTATCTAAAATTTCAAGTCACCTTTCATTAATTAATGATAGAATAAATGTGCAAATTTAGTTATAAATTATTTTTTAAGAAGCATCTAATATTTTATTTACTATAATGATGTAAAATAAATAATTAAATATTTAAAATAGAATACTAAATATCTCTTATTAAAGTTAAAGAGATGTCCGTTATTTTATTATTAATTGTGAAAACTTAAAGAGGTGCCTGTTACTTTATAATTAATTGTAGGGCTCATTTTGAATTGAGAACATGTTTGTCATATTCTTCCTCCTTTGTCCA